TTTTCAGTTCAGAATAACAGTCTCAATTCCTAAGAAGTCATAAAATCTAGGAAATAGGTTGAAACTTTGCTTTGTTGTTTATTTTAAGATCTTTCTAAACTGACTTGTATGCATGCTTTTTTAAAAATTTTGTATAGTAAACTTGTGCTCTATTGCCAAAGAACATTTGCAGTCCCACGTGAATATGTTTCAAGGACTAACCACAGTTATCAAAAAAAAAGAAAATTATGAACTATCAAGCCAGGTTTCACTCTGGGAGTGACTTGTCCAGTATTATCATCAACTAGGATCATAATACCAAATGTGTGTGTGAATCAATGAGTCTCCTTGAAATTCCCTTTATCTAATTTTAATTCCCTCCATCTAATTCTGCCTTTTGGAGGCACATCAATATGGAGAAAAGCTATCACTGGATGGAAAAATATGACAATTTGGCAAATCTCTCCCAGAAGCGTAAATGTGTTATATTTTATTCAATACCAAATATGGATTTGGAATGAATCTTAATCAACATTTAAGGATTAAGCTTCTTTCATACTGACAAGCAAATATTCACTTTCTAATAAACTATCAATGGAGTATATGCACCAATAGTGGTACAATCCCAAATTACCGACTGTACAACAAGTGAAGATACTCTTCCATTTACAGGTTTCATACCTTGTGGTAATAAGCTATCTTCATCACTGAGAGATAATGTACCATTTGCACAAACCTGCAGATTCATAGCTTCCAAAAATAATTGATAGAAATCTGAACTTTCTGCTTTGGTGGCTGTACATGATGAGGACTATTGTGAAATATACTTATGAACACTCACCCGTGTAACAATATCATGAGAAACAAGTTATCAGGTTATTCATTTATTTACTATTTGTGGGGTTTTGCTCTGAACAAAATGACTACCATGTTTGTCTATGTCATCCGATGTTATCCTGTCTGTATCTTTACATTGCAGGGCATTGGAAGAACCTGACAAGCACTGATAAGTTTGAATCAGAGATAGTAGGAACTGCAGATGCTGGAGAATCCGAGACAACAAGGTGCAGGGCTGGATGAACACAGCAGGCCAAGCAGCATCATAGGAGCAGAGAGGCTGACGTTTCGGACCGAGACCCTTCATCAGAAAAGGGGGAGGGGAAGGGAGTTCTGAAATAAATAGGGAGAGAGTGGGAGGCGGATAGAAGATGGATAGAGGAGAGGATAGGTGGAGAGGAAACAAACAGGTCGAAGAGGCGGGGATGGGGCCAGTAAAGGTGAGTGTAGGTGGGGAGTTAGGAAGGGGATAGGTCAGTCCAGGGAGGACGGACAGGTCAAGGGGGCGGGATGAGGTTGGTCGGTAGGAGATGGAGGTGCGGCTTGAGGTGGGAGGAAGAACAGGTTAGGGAGGCAGGGACGAGCTGGACTGGTTTTGGGATGCGGTAGGGGGAGGGGAGATTTTGAAACTTGTGAAATCCACATTGATACCTTTGGGCTGCAGGGTTCCCACGCGGAATATGAGTTGCTGTTGACCATTTCAACTCCCCCTCCCATTCCTCAGATGACATGTCCATCCTGGGCCTCCTGCAGTGCCACAACGATGCCACCCGACGGTTGCAGGAACAGCAACTCATATTCCGCTTGGGAACCCTGCAGCCCAATGGTATCAATGTGGATTTCACAAGTTTCAAAATCTCCCCTCCCCCTACCGCATCCCAAAACCAGTCCAGCTC